TATCAAACTAGTACCATTTTAGTTTATCTAACATTATGAAATGCGAAAGATATTATTGCTGCATGTATATTTTATATAAAAAACGCTTACTTATTTGTTGCCTTCTTGAACTTGTTACGTTAGACCTGAATGAATTGCATAACGTGTCTCAAATGTTTCAGTAGCTGACATTTTACCTCTAAAAACTGAACCTATTTGAAAGGGTAAATAATGTTTACTTCACTTAAGGGACAGTTTGTTTATGACTTATGAAAGCAAAGGCCCATCAGATGATTTTCCGCTGCTACCCAAAACCCTTCTGTGGAAATTTACAAATGCCTACATCCAGCCTAGCGTCACGCAGTTATTCGTCCAAAGGACTGGTTTGCTTCACGTAGACCGAAGCTCGGTTCTGTTCATTAACCCAAGTATGGCAATTGCCTTTAGTATTCCTTTTCGCATTTCTCACTAATTATTTGTAAATGTGTTTTTAGTAATAGCCTCTGAAACGTCCTTTTATTGAAAATGATCATGAGCAGCTAGCAAAACTATCCATTTTTTATAACCTATGCACAGCTACTAAGGCTATTTGTTGACAGGTACGGAATAGCAATTTTAAACCTAACATATTCCCGCGTATAAATAATGTGGACATTTGGGGATAGTGACCAACCATTGTCTTTCGTTAATTTAGAAACAGACGGACGGCTTTGCCGTAGGTACCAAATAGTCAAGTCTAATGCCTTTTTGAAGTCATCCCATTTGTTATTTGAGCTACCAGATCGCGTGTTGGGACTGATGTTTGTTAACATCAAGTAGCTTGCGTCTGCTTGAATAAGTCGCAGTATTAATTACTATTTTTTCTTTGAAACGCAGATATGGAGCACCACTTTCTACTAGCAGATAGTCACATGCAGTTAATAACGCAAGTCTTGCAAGGACGCTGTTCAAGTTATTCCTGCAACATAATTATTTGTGACGGAAAGAAACGAAATTATGGCGATCGGAAATACGCAATGGTAGAAATGAAGCTCCCAATCGCAGCCGACAAGTTAACATGCCCGTAGCCCAGTGGGTAGAGCCGTTAGACCTTTAAATAACAGATCGCGAGTGCGAGCCCCAGATGTTCTACACTGCGTGGTCGGGTATGACTGAATGACGACAGCCAATAACACAGAAGTGTACATTACCGTTTCACATGTCTTTGTAGGTTTGAAGATTGCGGCTATATAATGCGCCCCTGTGTGGTTGTTCGTTTGCGCCAAAGCGAGCCCTTAGTCACAGCGGGACGAATGAATTCCATAGAAGCGTTTGGTGGGTGTCTCGCTCTCCGCCACAAAATAGTATTTTTGCGATCATGCCTACCAATTCTATGTAAATATTTTACTAACTGATGACATTTGCAGCATGTGACCTTATGAAAGTTAAGCCCGCTAGAATGAAATCAATTAAAATCCTGTCTCTCTTTCTTGATGGCATCAAAGCAACCTCAAAAATATCAAGAATATCATGAGTTCTTGAGTAATTGTTTTGGAATTTATCCTTAGAATGTCGGTGATTGATAACCGCAATACACCAATTTTTAAAGAACATGCAGCTAAAAACTTAACTAAAACACGTTTGTAAACAATATTTGTATTTTCATATTTATTTATTTTTTGCATAAAAGACAGCTCATACATATGGCAACAAAATCTAATAAATTACAATCACTTTACTTACGTTCTCGAAATGTTGACCTATCGAAAAATGGCAATTGGAAGCAAAAAAAACTTTTGTATTTCTTTAATGCCTTTAAATTTTTCAAATCCTTTCTTAATTTGCGTAGATGTTGAACCTATTAATAAATGTCAGCCCGAAAGTGATTTACAATCATTCGAAAATATTGGTCCATTTCATGAGTGAGGTCATCAACTGTGCATATGAAGTTTACTTTAGTATGACCGTCTTTTAAAACAACAACATTATATGCCGTATGAAATGGTGTGTTTGTTATGTCAGTCCTTTTTTGGTACAATAGGTTTTTATCTTACCACTCGCAGATACGATTGCAAGACGACTGTTCATGATGTTTACAATATTTATTAGCATCGTTATTTTCAGTGGGCATTTGATTTGTTGCGTCTGCAAACGTCAGTAACGTTTATACTTTACTGCTACTTACAACTAAATTGCTTGGCACGCGGTTTAAAAGCGGCATTGAAATGCTGATGGTCTTCCCTGTATAGCCACCTACCTGAACTACTGCTGCCTGCAGTCAAACCGCCTGTCATTTTGGCTACGGAGAACAAAATGAGATTTCAAGCTGGCTTCGTTTATATTCAAACTTTAGATTTTTACGTCTTCGACGGAATGCCCATCCAAAATATCAGTTCCTACTCAACCAGCTGTGACCTCGTAATCCGTTGCTTGCCTAGTTAGTATTGTTTACTTAGTGTTCAATATCAGGACGTAGGAAATCATTATTAAGCTCTAGAATATGCGAAATTCTGAACCCGGCCTCGTACCCTTTCTAAACGTAGTGTTGCGTAAAACGCTTTGCGTAATTTTCTGAATATCGTTAATGCCTGCCAACTGGCACTTTTAAACTCACGGTCGTAATTTAATCCTTGTATTGGGATATATTACCGAAACCGGTAATATGTTAGCAGGCATGCAATTAAATAACAAGTCAAAGTACATACGTCTTCGTAAGCTATATTTTGCAAATATATCCGCACAAACAGTGATTATTGCTAAAAAGCGGAGATGAGGATCCCGCTTTGGCGCATAATGTATTCAACCAATCGACAATTGTCTTTCCATTCAAAATAAATGCGTGTTACAAGTCAATGCGATCGTAAATAATTGTGAAAAGGGGAAAATGGAAGACGGAAGAGAACCATATTTTAGCAGAAAAAACGTAAATCCAAAAAACGAAAGGATTGTTACCCATCGGTTAACGACGGAAACTATCTTTGACCAAATTATTCCGGAAATAAATAACTGCGTTTCTCAAACATATGCAACAAAGTTAATGATATTAAACGAAACTGCCACATTTAAACCGACACTGTTATTTCAACGGATGATGCATTTCGAAACATACTAATTAGAATCTGCAAGGGAGGCTATATTCCACACAATGATTAAAAATCTCTGACATTCTCCATCAATAACCTCCAGTGCAAAAAATGTCTACTATCAAAATAGTGTCACAGGAGCAAGCGCTTCTGTATTCCAGGAAACATAAGAATATTTTTTTACTGCTATGCGAAAAACGTCTTGCAAAGCAACTACAAACATACTGCATTATTTATATTTTACTAACGATAACTATCACTAATTGCATGCGACAACTCGTACGCATGTAATTTAAATGTGGCAAATTAGTAAAAAACATTAAAAATAAAGGCTTACAAGCACTGCAGAGCCCGTACACAGTCGAGCCTTCCGAGGTAACCGGGGTGAGTGCTGGATGGTCTGTGCTGATACAGCGATGACACTCATTCTAAACGGTAAACGAGATGAAAAAAGGTTATTTAAAGAAGTCAAGTGCAATTAAAATTTTCGTGCTTAGTTTGTTGAGTCGCTTTTTTAAGAACGCATTAAATTTACGACTTTGTGTACTTACAGTACTGTTTGCGTAAAAAACGGCCACGAATCCTCCTAGTGTTACCCAATCCGTGCATTCTTCGTATGTACATGTGAGAACACCGCCGGACGCACTGCACTGGTCCATTTCTAATTTCATATCTCGGCCCATGCAATATTGTTCTGCATACACTTGTCTAAGGCACCAAACTATAATGAACCAGAACATTGTTTTGCCTGATCATGTTGCTTTGCACAACCTATTTATACCGTAGGAGTTTTTGAAAGAAAAGATACAATTTTAGGGAAACTTTTTAAGTCCAACTACGCGCAACATAAGACAAAAGCAGGGGCTCCATCTACATTGCGTCAATATTCATGCATTTTTCGGCGTGGCCATTATCAGGGTAACCGTAGAAATTGTGCCGCATTGTTTATTTCGCGGAAAGTCTGTACATATTTTATACCATGCTATCCTTTGATGTACCTTGCTTATTGGGTTGGCAGGCAAGCGTCGGTTCTCTGTAAAATTTGTAAAAATGCTAAAACGAAATTTCCTTAATTTTCAAAACATTAAAGTTTAAGCACGCAAATCCATTTGCATCTGTTACTATAAGAATCAAATGAGAATATTAATCGAAGTATAATAACGAAATATATTTTCTGCACATATTTCCATCTAAAATGCAACAAATGTATGTGACAAGTTGTTCGCTATGTAATGCAACCTATTTACTATCAATCTGAGGTGAAGTATTTGCTCAGGCGTTCCCAAAGATCACTTTCTAGGGCGTTGACGGACAGCGTTCTGCTTAGAAAAAAGCATAATTTTACAGCCGATGCAAAAGCTCCTTGAAATAGATACAAGGCGATTATTATATCTTAGATGAAATAACGTACATCTTCCATGTTTTGGCCAGATGATGCCCGCCGAATTTTAGGATGTAAATATGTTCGGAACCTGCGATTGTTTGAAGATATAGCAACTTATGCGTGGAAATTTAGTCCTACGAAATAAAGTTATTTACCTAGTGATAACACAGCCTTTGTAGATGCGGCGTAGTACAGATTCGAGCTATTTCTAATTATTAACAGATTTTAATTATGGCAAAGCTGGAAGACATTCATAACATATATCTCCGAACGCATATTCATGTACCAAATCTAAAATCATTCCCTGAATTGTCTGAACATAAAATGCAATTAACAATTACGAACAATGCCAATAGAAGCGAAGTTACGAGTCCCAGGAAGCAGTCTGGAAAAAAAGACACGATCGCCGGGACAAGAGATTTATTAGCCTGACGTTCCGAATTCCTATTCGAAGCAAATATAATGATACGGAGAATCGTTTTAGACGCACCCAAGTACTTCAGCTGCTGAAGTTCTGTCTCAGCACGTATTTCACTTTCGACGGTACAATCTACGAACAGGTGAAGGACACACCAATGGGTTCGCCGATTTCGGGGTTCATCGCCGAAGCCGTTCTGCGACAGTTAGAATCGCTGGTCTTCCAACACCAAAAAGCGAAGTTCGCGGTCCGGTATGTGGATTATACCTTCGTCATTATCGACCGGGATCAACTGCTGACATTCCAAGAACATCTCAACGCCGTCTTCCCGGACATTCAATTTACGATGGAGGTGGAAGAAAACAACCAGCTGGCATTCCTGGATGTCCTCGTATGCCGCAAGGATTGCGGTGGACTAAAGACCAAAAGTGTTCAGCAAAGCGACAAATACGATGCAAGTACTGCACTTCAACAGTAACCACCCAATCAGCCGCAAACGCAGTTGTGTCAGGACGCTCTATCGGCGTGTAGAAACGCACTGCAGTGAGCCGGAAGACAAATTGCTGAACTACAATACCTCCGACGGGTCTTCAAAGCCAATGGCTACCCGTGCAACTTCGTCGACCGGTGCATACGCAAAAAGGACGAAAGGCCTAACCGCACGTCCACCAAGTCTTGGCGGGCACTTCCGTATGTCAAGAACGTTTCGGAAGTTGTCGGCCGCCTTCTCGCAGAACTTGGGATTGGAGTTGCAAACAGACCGGAGGCAAACATCAGGCGTCAGTTAATAAAACCGAAAGATATATTACCACGGCAAGAAACGTCTGGAGTCGTTTATCGGATCTGGCGCACTTGCGCACAAAGCGACTACGTCGGAGAAACCGGAAGACAGCTCCGAACGAGAATGGCCGAACACGCGGCAGCGGTGCGCAGAAATGACGCCAGCTCTCAAGTGGCGGCTCATTCGACGAGATCCTGCCACACATTCAAATCTGCCGCGGCCTAAATTCTCGCAATAGATGACAACCGCGAGAGCCGGGAGCTGCTTGATTCATTGTTTACTGGCTCGCAGTTTATTAACAAGTGCAATTATCTTCCCATCCAATACAGGGTGCTGAGACTTCGTCTAGGCGGAGTAATTGGCTACGCGGGAAGCGCACTAGTGAACACTCTTCCCAACACCCGGGTCAGCGCGTCACATGGTCGAACAATCATCACACCAACATCCAACGCACGTGATGAAGTTGCAGCAATTAACGTCGTGAATGTCGGTCATCATGCAACGTGCAACGATCCCTGATGAAGGGGGAGGGGGTGGGGAGCCGTGAATATTCATAGCTGTGCGGTAGCATGGCTACTGCATCATATAAATACTGCAGCCGCATATGCATGAACCATCCTTATCTGCTTTTGTCTCTGATGGTGGATTCAAGCAGGAATCCGAAACGTCAGGCTAATAAAGCTCTTGAGCTGGCGATCGTGTCTTCTTCTTCAAGTTACAAACAATTGTTGGATATGCAGTAGATGGGTTAAATCACGAAATGTTAACCGAAATTGTGAAATGCGTTTTGTCTCGAAAATATTAATTAAATACAATTGTAAAATTGATCTTCATACGGCGCAAATTTAAAATAATTTATTTGCTTCAGGGATCTCCTTTACGATTGCATACAAAAAACGTACCCTGAAAAAATGACTGCTTAAGTAGCATGCATTTTTCACATCGATTTTCGATGTCCTTAGAATTAAAGTGTAGTTCATTAGTGTACGAGTCAAGAGATCGTTAGGCCACCAAAAGATATTGGCGTTTCTCAGATACACAAAACCTAACAGCGCAAGTTATTTTTCGAGGTAATTGCAGTACCAACATCCTTTTTTATGGATCGGTAAAGTTCTTCTCCAACAGAACGGTTGTATCTTGTAATGCTTTGTCTGTGAACTTCGTTGTGTCTGAATTCGTAGCGACTTGTAGAAGAAAGCTCGATCAACGTTGCAGTGCGTACCACATTGCCGCCATATCGCAGCCGTCTATATGGTCCACGCCAACAATTCAATGCATGGTTGCGTCAGAATAAGGATATTTCCTTGAATGTGCTCAGGTTATGGGGTGCAATACCTTTGCACCCTATGGTTTCCGCTTTGGATATTTTTTTGAAGATAAAACTCATTTTTATCGTCCAATAAGCACTTCGCGTAGTGTCTGTTTGCTCTACCCAAGACAGTCGTCCGATTTAAAGCCATTATGACGGACATATAGAAGCTATACATCAGCGCACAGTTCTGCCTTGCAGCTACAATTACGTGTACTGTATTCGACTGTTAATTTCATATGCTTGTTGATTCGAAATAAGGCCTGGCCCAAATCTAAAACCTTTATGCAGACAAACAAGCACATTTTATATTAATAAATTGAAATTTATATTAGGAAGGAATTATTTAACATGAGAGCAAATTTGGAATTAATTTCATTGATTCTTTATCTTACATTCACACAATTGTTCCTAATGTACTCCAATAATGTCTTCTTTCACTCTCCTGCACCGAACAACGTCAGGACCTCAATGCTATTGTGAAGCATGTTGCAGACCTTCTCATCGATCGTCTCCCAAATTCTCTAGTCAAGGGTGTCTATGTCTTGTGACGATGCTGTTCACATAACCTTCGGCCAGCAATAAGATATGTGATCTTCGAGCCACTTCTATGTCTTTCTTTGACCTATGCTAGCACCTACTGTGATAACGTGTTTTGTATAAAAAATATTTCTGTCGGTGTGATCTCTCATCGGAACAAGCCTTTATTGTATATCAAGCAACCAGGTGAATTCATCGGGTAGCTAAACAGAACATCCGCAATTTTTGGGTGCAGCACTATTTACCTTTAAATGGAAGATTTAACAAGTCGTGGTTTCAAACGCGAAGTTGTTCCCGCATTCTCTCCGGACTAGAGTTGCTTCGTAGGAAACATGTGTGAATTATGAATAACAAAACTTAATTAGCGACAACCAGTTGCTCAATTACATGATGTTTTAAGGTATGAACCCTAGACAGTGAGATATGCAGTGCGCGACCTATCTCATAAAATGAAGGCTCTGATTTCGAGATGCGTTTTTGATTAAGAAAAATAACTGAGGTGAAGTTACAATAGTGATTATCCTGCAGCATATTCCTGTTGTATTTCAGGCTCGTTGCGTTGTCCGATTTTGAATGCACTTCTTCTTGACTATCTGCAGGAATCGCACTCAGTAAAAAATGTCTACGTATGTAGCATGCATTTTTCACACTGATGTTCGGTGGTCTTCTACATTTGAACATATATTTTATAGAAGACATCCCCAAAATATGCTTTCTTTTACTCATTAGGTGGAATCTCACATTAGATTTATATTTTATGCGCGAAAAACGTATATACTGGATTTCAAAAGATTTTTAATTATGAGATATTTAAGACCGTGTGGTTTCCATATACACAGCATTGGACATGCACTTTTATTTATGTTTCTCATGAGATGTACAACATCGCCTAAATCCATTGCAGAATTTATTGAACTCTATATGCATAAAAGAATACATAATCTTTCTAATGCGGAAAGCATGCACCTTGGAGAACTAAATCGTCAACAGCTAATGTGATGGCAGATTAGGCTCAGTATTATTCGTGAATTGGGAAATTTTTTGAAATCTTAATATGCTGTTTCGTCAGGCATAAACTATGAAGACAATGTGATATTCTGCCAAATGAGTGAAAAGCTTATTTTGTGCACGGTTTCTATGAAATACAATTGAATTTATAAGACCACTGAAAAGTGCCTGCTACTTATGTAGCCATTTTTACCAAAAATGGGCTCTGCAGGAGGCCAAAAGGAAATGCCCTCAAGAGCAGACAGTCTGTCAAGCTCAAAATACTAGGAGATTATGACGCCAAATCGTCAGTATTACAACCCAACCTAAATAATTGAAAACGTGTATCATAATTTCGGCCAGAATATCACGTAATCCGTAACGCACTGAAAAGATTATTTTTAAAAAACTTAGGGCCAAGATTTCACGTTACTTATTACGCAAAATTTCTCTGTTGATTTATTTTTATATAAATCTTACTCCTTTGATAATTACCTGTATTAGCAGTCTATTCTTCTGCCGAACATTTTCTCTGTATTTTGCCCAAATGGTCTACATACGCAGTGAGTTAAAAAAGGCTCCCAAATTACATTGCTTATTGAATACACTCACAAAACAATGTTTTACCATTGATGAGACAAATCAAACCTAAACTATCGTTCATACATGACTTAGATGATGCGCACGCAGAGTATGTGAAATAAACCACTTGCAATTTCCTAAAACGTGGAGCATCAGCGTCTCCTACTCTGCCAGTCTGTCTCACTACATATCGAGGACTTATTCACTCAGGATTGGACGAAAACTTATAAAATGATTTTATTAAGCGAACATTATGCGCTGAAAATAAACTTTAATCACAAATCGATAAATTAATGTAGATCTCAAGTCTTTCGAACTGCCAGACACTCTCACTCGTTTGAAACCAACGCTTGGTCCGTCAAATAAGTCGGTAGATCATACATCAGCCAGCAAAAAATGTTATTCACCATATATAATTTTACGTTGGTTGAACCGGTAGTGCATCCGTACTGACATATGATGCTTAGTTTCCTTTGATAGCAGTTTAATTGTGCACAACAGAGACAACTTCGATTCCAAAACGTTTAGAACGCTGGGCAGTCGGATAGGTATCTTCCTATGTGGGGTCGTCAAACCCGACCGAAATCCTTATTAAATGACGCAAGAGCAATATGCCAAAATACGCAGCATTCATTTTACTGCCGCGCTTTCTAGAGCAAACAAGCCAGGAAAAGTCGTCGTCTGATAGGCCTAACTTAACAGCGCACTTAAAATTCAATTATCCTTAACGTAACGAATGTTTGGTGACCTAGGAAAGTCAATTTTTCCAAGAAACAGTGTGTTTTGTCAGTGCGACCGCGTGCGACCGTAATTACCGATCGCAAAATAGTAATTGCCTTGCGCATAGTGACATTTGTTCATTAAATGACACTTAATTTATACATACATTATAGCTTTTCGAACGCTGGGGACATATACGTTTCTAACATATTTTATTATACGGAGGTTATTCCGCCTGAAATTTCGAAAAGACCTAGCGCGTGTCCGTCCACTGTAAAAAGCCTCCGCCAAAAGCTTTCTTTGACGATTTCATCCTCCATTTGAAAATGAGTGGTCGATATCAAATTATAGAATAATAAAAATACACATCGATTCCCATTGACTGTTCGGAGTAAAATATCAATTTTTTGTTAACCATTACGTTGATATCGGTAACTGACAGTCCTGTTATAACCCAATCTGGGATGGGATGTCAAAGAAGACGGAGTTGAAACGTGCATTTCTACAATACTCATTTAAATAATAATTGTTACTACTGGCTTAATTTAAGTAGGTGTGA